GTCGGGGTCAGCATCATCATATCCAGAGTCGATTAGCACATCAGCTAGATAGACAGATTCCCAACTCTCATCATTAAATACTTCATTGTCCTCTGACACCGAGACAAATCCTTGGCCAACATCTTTGTCACTTGGTGTAAGCATTAGTCCATCTGCATTTGAATCCTCCGGACCAGGGGTAGAAGAAGTAGGATTTCCTAACAAACAAGATGATGGTTTTGAGGGCAACTCCTCATCAAGAGATTCAGAATACATATCCGCATGTCCACCATCCACCTCAGCATCATTAATTGAACTTTTACCGTTGATGTTATGAGTCTGCATATGAGAAACTAAAGAATTCTGTTCTGCAGGATCTTTCTTTCCAAGGTTGATCTCCACCTGAGATAGGTTAAATTGCTCTTCCCCGAAGGAATCAGTACTACCACGATAAGTGCGGTGAGAGGATTGAGATTTCTTATTATTGGATCTTATTTTTCTAGATGAACAATCTTCTTTCTTATTGGAATTTCTCCTGATTGCCTTATTTTTACCCTGATTCATGGCTTCTCCAGCCATCAAATAACTGTCCTGGACAAGAGTTTCACATTGCATGTTTGTTTTAGGGCCACCAAAGCTAATACATGAAGCAGCAAAATATCTCGATGGGGATGAAATTCTGATACTATCCTTCCAACCATCCCTAAGACTAATACCCAAAGGACTATCCCACTCAGCAATTTCATTATTGCTAACAAATCCGTCACTGGATCCATCCAAACCAGTCATTGGATAAAAATTCTCTGGCCTGCTGGCTTTACCAACTGCTCCAACATTCTGATACCTTTGGGACATCTTCCACCTTTCTGAGAGTCTCTTCTTGGCCTCCCTACTTACAAATGAAGGTCTAGGTCGGTTACTCCGGTGAAAGGACTTTCTGGGAGTCGATATTGTCAATTCTAATTCACTTCCAGAATCACTTCCAGACACATTATATGAGCTCTCATCCCCAGCATATCCCTCAAGTATGGAGGGCAAATCCATCGGCTCACCGCATAAACTTCCTCTCATTTTCCTAGTAATCTCCTTAGCTTTTTCTTTGGGCTCTCTAGACTTGGGCCTCAAAAAACCTGCATCATCATTAGATGAGTTTTCCTTAACCCAATGTCCTCCCTCTATCAATGGTTAAAATTACAGGAGACAATATGTATTTTAACTAAATTTCAGGGAATGTATTCATAATTTATCTGTCAATTTTTAAGCAGATGTGAATTACTTTATTTATTTATTTAACTTTTGCGGAGAGGCTCACATCTTTGTTTGAAAGTGAATTAAAAAGAAAGTGAAATTGAAATCACATTGCACAAAGTGGAGAAAAAAAAGTAATCAAGCAAACAAAACACAGAAACAAATTAGAACACAGAAACTCCACCTTTTTTCGTCTGACCTTCCTTCCTCCTAAAAACGTTCTTGGACTGTGGGAGTGAGTCTAGACCCATGAGTCTTGCGACTACTCCTGGGGTCTTGACTTGGGTGGTGAAATTCTTTTTTGGGTTTTCGAAGGTGGTGGTGGTGGTGGTGGTAGGGATGTCGGTGGTGGGAACGGATGGTTGGGTTAGGAGGCTGCCGATGCAGATGAGGCAGCAGAGGATGCTGGAGAAACACTTGAACTTGCAATTCTGTGACTTGGCCATGTTGGAGAGGGAGAGAGAGAGACAGAGAGAGAGAGAGACTGTGTGGAAAGGACTCTTTTGAATAATGAGAGTGGTGGGACTCGAGTCAAGTTACCGAGGGTAGTGTGTGAATACCCGGATGTGTTTCCCGAGGACCGTACTAGTTTGCCACCCTACCGGGAGATTGAGTTCACCATTGATCTAGTGCCTGGAATGGCACCAATTTCTATGGTGCCATATAGATTTGCACCCGCAGAATTGCATGAGTTGAAGATTCAACTCCAAGAACTTTTAGACAAGGGCTTCGTTCACTCTAGTACATCACCTTGCGGAGCGCCGACTCTCTTTGCAAACAAGAAGGGTAGGTTGTTGCGGTTATGTATTGATTATCGTAAGTTGAATCGAGTTACCGTTAAGAACAAGCATCCTCTACCCAAAATAGATGACTTATTTGACCAACTTAGGGGGTCCCGTTGCTTTTCGAAGATAGACTTGAGATTGGGGTATCATCAATTGAGAGTTTGGGGGGAGGATATCTAGAAAACAACCTTTCGCACGTGTTATGGCCACAATGAATTCTTGTAATGCCTTTCGGTTTAACTAATGCTCCTGCTTCCTTTATGGAGTTGATGAATCGAGTCTTCCGAGAATTGTTAGACCGCTTCGTGGTCGTCTTTGTGGATGACATCTTGATTTATTTGATCTCCAAGGAGAAACATGAGGAACATTTGTAGATAGTGCTTGACTTGCTTAGGGTGCACCAATTGTGTGGTAAATTTGAGAAATACGTGTTTTGGTTGACTGAAGTGAAGTTTTTGGGGCATGTTGTGTCGAGAGAAAGAGTAACTGCAGACTCCTCTAGGATAGATGCTGTGCAATATTGGGAACAACCTAAAAATGTTTTTGAAATCTAGAGTTTCCTAGGGTTAGCCGGGTATTATCATCGTTTTGTAAGGGACTTCTCTAGACTAGCCGCACCATTGACCAGGTTGACAAGGAAAGGTGTCAAATTCGTATGGGATGAGACTTGTGAGAAGTCATTCCAAGAACTTAAGACTAGATTGACCACCGCATCAGTTTTGATAATTTCGGAAAGAGGCTTGGATTATACTATTTATTGCGATGTGTCCCAGGATGGACTTGGTTGTGTATTGATGTAAGAAGGGAAGGTTGTGGTCTATGGTTCATGACAATTGAAAACTCATGAGAAGAACTACTCCACCCATGACTTAGAGTTAGCGGCAGTAATATTTGCTTTGAAGATTTGGAGGCATCACTTGTATGGTGAAAATTTTGATGTTTTCTCTGATCATAAGAGTCTAAAATACTTGTTTTCTCGAAAAGACTTGAATTTATACCAACGAAGATGGATGGAATTTATGGAAGATTATGACTTTGAGTTACACTATCATCTAGGGAAGGCCAATGTAGTGGCCAATGCCTTCAGTCAGCAATCTATGAGTAGTTTGGCAAGTGTGGCCATTCGGGAATGGGTTATGCTAGACGATATCTGTGAGTTTGATTTTCAATTGGGCAAGTCTAGCGAGGGTGCTATCTTGTTTACCGTGATTGCTCAACCTATCTTGATTAGTAGAGTCATAGAGGCACAATAGGGTGACCGTGAGGTGGAGACAATCTGTGATAGGATCTCCAATTTGAAGGAAGAGAAGGGTTTGAACATACACTCGGATTTTTTTTTTTTTGATCGGCAAAAAAAAAACTTTATTGATGGAATAAACAAGTACAAGGTACAAGACAAATTACATCAATAATGATAAGGGAAGTGCAAAAGTAAATGATCCCAACTAGGTTGGCACCACAAAGCTCATCCTATCATTTGCTAACACCCCAAGTTAGTGAGAGACCAACGATAAAGAACAGACCATAGTAACATTAGAACGGCCACCCAATTCAGACCACCAGCCAAACATCTGAAATAAAACAACCAACCAACCAAACCTAGCACCTAAGCATAGCAGACCAGCAAATCACCAATTCAGATCTCAGCAGATCACCAATTCAGATAAAAAAGCAGAACTGAAAAGCAGAACACCAGCATCACATTCCTTGAGTTGCCAGCAGTAGGCCAAATCTGTTGACTGAGGCACACCATCTGCAGGCCACAGCAGCCATCCATACCCATCCACTTTCTGAGCCTTATATGAATAGCATACAGCAAACAGAGCAGACCAGCTGCACAAAGCAGACCAGCTTCCCTCCTAAAATCTCCAATACCATATGGCAGACCAGCAAACAACCAGCTCCTAAACATCAGCCTCAATCCTGCACTCCTAAACAGCAAAATTAGCATACAGTAGCAGGCACAGCCAGATTAGCATAATACTGCAGCTGGAGGTAGCCCCAAGACATCCTACAGCAGCAGGCACACCAAAATAGCAAACTGCAGAAACCCAACAGCAACCACAAATCATTAGCATAACTCTGCATGTGGATGAGGATCCCCTTTGATTACTGGATTCAAGTTTGCTTAGCAGGCCAAACATAAGAGCAACATACACCAGTAAGACTGCAGTGCAGACTCCAGCTCCAGAAAGACTGCAGCTCAAAAAAAAAACAAGACTACAACTACTAAACTTAACAGTAAAAAAAAAACATATGCTAATATATGGTATGAACATCGAGTATTTTTCTCAATATTTTATTCCCCATCTTCTCCACCTACTATTCCATTCCGTTTAATTCCATTCGCTTGTCTCTAGCTCTGCCTAAAATCGAGTTCTGATCCATACTTAACATATTCGCAGCCTCCACTATTAGGTCATCCATCAACAATTTCTCAATTTCCATACCTATCGCGTCCACGCCATATGTGAGGTACGTCCACGGGATCGAAATCCGATTCCACTATCAACCAAATATGTTTCAAACGATTACAAACGAGACACTAATGGTCTCACAAAACACCCTTAGGTGAATTTTAAATAATCACAAATAAACAAGAGGAAAGATCTCACCAAATAGAAGAATCAAAATCTTCAGAATCAGAGTTGAAGAAGACCCAAAATAACAAACCCAAAAAAACTCCGTCAAAGCAGCCGAATTGAAGCAAACTGACCCAAGCCTTTTTTTGATTCACTGAATTGCTTTTTAAATCTCAAACAGCCGCACAATGTCCTTCGGAAAAGGTGAACAATTTTGTAGCCGCCGTCCTTGCTTGGAAAAACAACCCTATTTTTTTGGGGCAAACATTAACAATATATATATATATATATATTGTGAATCTAGGGTTTTGTAATCAAACTCTAATTGTTTCCAAATTGAATTGGGTCTCCTCAAATATAATATATAAAAATATATTATACCTAAACCAAGTCAAATTGAAACTCTTTAACAAACCTGCAGCTCGTAACCGATCCCATGTTTCTGCCTTGTAAGGCCCACCTTCCCTGTTGGCTGCTTCACCCACGGGAGTGGGTCCACGAACTGCTGGAACATTTCAAAGAGCCCAGAATTTATGCGATCAAACAGGAGCTTCCTTTCAGACCTCAATGACGTTGTCTCATTGGAATACTTCTCCTCGACGTTGTCAAATAAACGAGGGTCCAGAGGGCAATCGAGAGAGTACCATGTTGACACGAAAGTGTCGGGGTCAGCATCATCATATCCAGAGTCGATTAGCACATCAGCTAGATAGACAGATTCCCAACTCTCATCATTAAATACTTCATTGTCCTCGGACACCGAGACAAATCCTTGGCCAACATCTTTGTCACTTGGTGTAAGCATTAGTCCATCTGCATTTGAATCCTGTGCTTTTGAATCCTCCGGACCAGGGGTAGAAGAAGTAGGATTTCCTAACAAACAAGATGATGGTTTTGAGGGCAACTCCTCATCAAGAGATTCAGAATACATATCCGCATGTCCACCATCCACCTCAGCATCATTAATTGTACTTTTACCGTTGATGTTATGAGTCCGCATATGAGAAACTAAAGAATTCTGTTCTGCAGGATCTTTCTTTCCAAGGTTGATCTCCACCTGAGATAGGTTAAATTGCTCTTCCCCGAAGGAATCAGTACTACCACGATAAGTGCAGCGAGAGGATTGAGATTTCTTATTATTGGATCTTATTTTTCTAGATGAACAATCTTCTTTCTTATTGGAATTTCTCCTGATTGCCTTATTTTTACCCCGATTCATGGCTTCTCCAGCCATCAAATAACTGTCCTGGCCAAGAGTTCCACATTGCATGTTTGTTTTAGGGCCACCAAAGCTAGTACATGAAGCAGCAAAATATCTCGATCGGGATGAAATTCTGATACTATCCTTCCAACCATCCCTAAGACTAATACCCAAAGGACTATCCCATTCAGCAATTTCATTATTGCTAACAAATCTGTCACTGGATCCATCCAAACCAGTCATTGGATAAAAATTCTCTGGCCTGCTGGCTTTACCAACTGCTCCAACATTCTGATACCTTTGGGACATCTTCCACCTCTCTGAGTGTCTCTTCTTGGCCTCCCTACTTACAAATGAAGGTCTAGGTCGGTTACTCCGGTGAAAGGACTTTCTGGGAGTCGATATTGTCAATTCTAATTCACTTCCAGAATCACTTCCAGACACATTATATGAGCTCTCATCCCCAGCATATCCCTCAAGTATGGAGGGCAAATCCATCGGCTCACCGCATAAACTTCCTCTCATTTTCCTAGTAATCTCCTTAGCTTTTTCTTTGGGCTCTCTAGACTTGGGCCTCAAAAAACCTGCATCATCATTAGATGAGTTTTCCTTAACCCAATGTCCTCCCTCTATCAATGGTTAAAATTACAGGAGACAATATGTATTTGAACTAAATTTCAGGGAATGTATTCATAATTTATCTGTCAATTTTTAAGCAGATGTGAATTACTTTATTTATTTATTTAACTTTTGCAGAGAGGCTCACATCTTTGTTTGAAAGTGAATTAAAAAGAAAGTGAAATTGAAATCACATTGCACAAAGTGGAGAAAAAAAAGTAATCAAGCAAACAAAACACAGAAACAAATTAAAACACAGAAACTCCACCTTTTTTCGTCTGACCTTCCTTCCTCCTAGAAACCTTCTTGGACTCTGGGAGTGAGTCTAGACCCATGAGTCTTGCGACTACTCCTGGGGTCTTGACTTGGGTGGGGGTGGTGGTGGTGGTGGTGGTGGTAAGAAAGTGAAATTGAAATCACATTGCACAAAGTGGAGAAAAAAAAGTAATCAAGCAAACAAAACACACAAACTCCACATTTTTTCGTCTGACCTTCCTTCCTCCTGAAGACCTTCTTGGACTGTGGGAGTGAGTCTAGACCCATGAGTCTTGCGACTACTCCTGGGGTCTTGACTTGGGTGGGGGTGGTGGTGGTGGTGGTGGTGGTTGGGACGTCGGTGGTGGTGGTGGTGATGGTGGTTGGGATGTCAGTGGTGGGGTCGGATGGGAGGCTGCCGACGCAGAGTAGGCAGCGGAGGATGCCGGAGAAAAGCTTGAACTTGGAATTCTGTGCGGCCATCTTTGACACAGAGTGGAAAGGCAAAAGCTGTGTATTTTTGAAAGAGAATTAATTGTTATTTTAAGAATTCTTAGGTAAAATATGAATCAGCTTGCTTAGGTAAAACACCAAGGATCCTCTAGAGTGAAATTTCCCTCAAGTTTCCTAGAGTGCTATATTGTGTGGTTGAGATTTATTGGCAAGTCATATCAGAAAAATTGATGTGACTTGCCAGTAAATATCAACCATACACTGTAGTACTTTAGGAAACTTTATAAAAAAATCACTCTAGAGGATCTTTGCTCTAGGTAAAATATGATTTCCATAATTTCAATATGGAGGGAGGAGTGTTCCGCGCCTAATCACAGCAGCTTGCCAAACGACACAGTTTCTTCTTCTTCCAATTTTTTTTTTTTTTTTTGGGGTTAAAAAAAAAAAAAAAAAAATTTTTAAAATTTTTTTAAACCTTTTTCTTGCATATTTTTTATTTTATTTTTGAAAATTCACATGAATTGAAATTTATTATTTATTGAGTATTACATTTTTAATGTTTTTAAAAATTAAATGAGACTAGTTATATTTTATTTGACATTGATATTTATCAGAGTATATTGGTTGATTTTTCAACAAATCAATAAATAATATGTAATAATACACATCGTTGCAAGTAAATTTAACAGTAATTTTTTAAGGATTTTATGATTTTTTTTTATTGATTTGTCTGAATGAGTACAATATTATTATTGTTGTTGTTGTTATTATTATATTATTATTATTTGAAGAAATTATAAAAAATAAAAATAAAATTCATATAGTGATCCTGGTGATAAAATAAATTATGAAATTTTAATTTTATCAATTTAAACTTTAAAATTTTGATTTGTTTTTAATCTCAACAATTCATCTATTTTTGTTAGGTAAAACTCACAATTTTTTTTTAGTCATTAAACTCAATATAGATATACATAAAATGTCTAAAATATCATTTTCTATCAAGTTACCTAACGAAAATAGGTCAATAGTTTAAATTAAAAGCAAATAAAAAATTAAAGTTTGAATTAATAAAATTAAAAACTCATTATTTATTTTGTTAAAAAAACCAAAATTTGAGATTTTTTTTTATAATTTTCCCTTATTATTTTTGTTAATTTTTCTTAAAGTAATGTAATGTTGACAGGTGTGCGCAAACTAGAAAGTAACCAATTGCAGCGCACACCAACAAAAAAACAAAACAAAGAAATATTATGTTGAAAAAAAAAAACAAAACACACAAAATTGTGCCGTTTTACCGTACAGCAGACACCCCTTTCCCCTAATGTACATAATTTCAATGATTTTTATTTTAAGAATTATTAGGTAAAATATTTATATAAAAATTAAGATGGTTAGACCTATTAAATCCAAACGCTCTCTTAAATTAAATAACAACTTAAAAAAAAAAACAAATCCTTTCTAATACTGTGACATGGCTTATGTGTTAATTATAAACCAAACCAAGCCAAGCCTTAAGTCCCATCAAATGGGGTCGGATATATAGCTATTAATATTCAATTATCTTAATTTTTTATATGAATATTTTAATTGAAGAGTTTTAAAAAATGAACAGTTCAAATCATTCGAATTAATTCTAAAATAGACCTACTAAATCCAAACGCTCTCTTAAATTAAATAACAACTTAAAAAAAAAAAATCCTTTCTAATACCGTGACATGGCTTATGTGTTAATTATAAACCAAACCAAGCCAAGCCTTAAGTCCCATCAAATGGGGTCGGCTACATGAATCATATTTCTCCACGCGGCCCTATCAAAGGCCATTTCGTTAGTCAAATTAAGTAGATCCATATCTCTATTTACAATGGTTGGAGCAACAAAAGTGTGCGTATTTTAACAAATTTAAATTTGATGGAAAATCTAAGTAAAAGTTTGAGACGCTCTTATCGGAGTGGAAAAAATAAATATATGCATTTATACTTAGGGCTTGTTAAGGAAATGTTTTTTTAGTAATTTTGTTAAATGATGATCATCCAAATATTTTGAAATCCCTTGCTGGCAATGTTAATCAGTCGAGAACATTACCAAAATTTCTGTTTGTGGCCTCCACCCAAACCGTAGAAACACTTGGAAATGAAATTCTGTAACTTGGTCATGAGAGAGAGAGAGAGAGAGACTATGTGTTTAGGCAAAAACTCTGTTTTGAAAGAGAATTAGGTAAAAGGGGTACCAATATGGAGGGAGGAGTGATCCGGGGCGCCATTCCTAATTTCCATAATTTGAATATAGGTAAAATCATATTATTGTTATATAATATAAGTAAAAGTGTTGTAGCCTCTTTGAAGTTGAAAGTCTCACTCTAATTTTCTCAATTTTTCTGAATTTTATAACACTTAAAAATACACCTCATTCTATGATTAGCTCAAAATATAATTTATAGGGTAAATTATGCAAATAGTCCATGTAATTTACACGATTTGTCAATTTGGTCCATATAGTTTCAATTTACTCGATTTTGCCCCTTAATTTAATGGATTGTATTATTTTAGTCCAATGAATAACGGTTGTTATGTTAATTTAACGGAAGGTCAAACAATGTGTCAATTTGGTTCCTGCACTTTACATGATGTGTCAATTTGGTCCATGTAGTTTCAATTTTCTCAATTTTGACATGGACTAAATTGATACATTGTGAAAAATGCATGGACCAAATTGACACATTATTTGACTTTCTAGTTTAATTAACTTAACAACCGTTATTTATTGGACTAAAATGACAAAATCCGTTAAATTAAGGAGCAAATCGAGCAAATTGAAACTAAATGGACCAAATTGACACATCATGTAAACTACCGGGACTATTTACATAATTTTCCTTAATTTATATTAATTAAGGTAATTTTTAAATCCTCTAAATCATTACCAAAATTTATTAGTAATGCTTCCTTAAATTTTGTGATTATTATTCCTAGAATTACCTTATTCTAATTGGAATCATAATCTATATGATTATACATACCAAACTTCAAAGATTTCTATAATTATTTTTAAAAAATTTAGGAAATATAACAATGGGAAGAGCGCGGCATATTAGGTCCTCAATTTTTTATTTTTTTATTTTTTCTTCTTTAAAACACAATCACAACTAATTCTTTAAGTATATGGAAAAAAAATAGAAATACAAAAAGAATTATTCAGAGATTCTAGCTTGAAAAACAAGCGAATTGTGCATATTAAATTATGAATATGGTCCATATATTTTAAATGACGCATGGATATTTATATTCTCTATTTAATGTGAGTTGTTTTTGGGTTATTTTAGCCAATTTCTTTGTATATATCTTTTCTTTTATTTTAATAAAGTTTTTTTTTATATTTATTGTTGTATAAATGAAAAAAATGCAAAATACAAAAAAATTATTTTTATAGCCGGCTAAATCTAGCTCTAGTATAACCTAAAGATAAAACAAAAGTGATGATAATCTTGGGTTTGACATCCTTATAAGAATGACGTAAGGGAATCCTAAGGAATTTTTACTACAATGTAAGAGGAATCGAAAAGAGTTTTTACTATCAATATAAGAGAATTTACTTAGAATTTTTACTGATCATGTGGCTATTTGAAAATCAAAATATGTATGTGTATATTTGTTTCTTAGTTTAAGTAATTTTTTAAGGGAAGACCAATTGATGGAGTACATTTTTTTAGATTGGAAAAAAATTATAAAATGGAAGAGACGTGAAATTTTTGTAAGTTTATGTCTATATAAATTTGGAAACAGTAGAAGGAGTAATTGATTGAGAATTACAAAATTTAAAATTAAGAGTCAAAATTGATTAAATTAAAAGTGTAGAGAGCAAAATAATATAAGAGATAAAATGTAGGGACTACTAATATAATTTGTTTTTGTTTTATTAATTTCTTACTCATAATTTAACTTATTTTTAATTTTTTTTCCCCTGTTGTTTAGTGGCCTTTTATATTCGGCAACTAAAGCAAAAAACTTTGAATGTATGAAATGAATGTAATGATATTTCATCATCAAACAATTTTTATTATTACTTTTGGTTTAAATGGATGAAAAATTAGCGTATATTTAATTTCGAGGAAATAGCATTTTGCCCCCTAAAATATCACGCGTTTTTCACGTTGACCCCATACTTCGATTTATTTTAATTTAGCATATTAACTTTCCACAAATTGATCAATTAGACTCCTGTCGTCACCTTCCGTCTACAATTGGATGGAATGTGCTTACGTTGCATTTAAAATTTCATTTTACCCCCCCCAAACTATACCTTAAAAATCAATTTACCCTCCAAATTAAAAATCAATTTGACGTTCCTTGTACTGAACCAATCTACGTTCCAAACAACATAGTACTAACCATATTTCCAGTTTAGTTATTATGTCCTCATCTGAGCATCAACCAAAGGCTTTAGTATGCTAAAACAATGGAGTGAAGAAGTAAATATATATATATATATATATGAATATTTTAAAAAAAAAAAAGGAAGGAGGGAAGAAAGAAAGAAAGCAATTTCAATAGGGACGTCATGACGCACTACATTGCCACCTTATGATGAAATCCTCCCACCAATCTTATTAGATTGTTGTGAAAATTGATTCCAAGCACATAGCCTCAAGATATAACGAAGTCTACTAATGTCTTATTTCAATTAATAATTCAGCTAATTTTATTATTGTATAGATTAATAGTTAGAAATTTCACTTTTTCAATTAATTTTGTTAAATAAAAAATTTTGACAGCGAGGTATTTGTAATTTTCCAAACTACAGGGGCAATTCGTATTTTAAGCAAATCTCAAGAGGTGTATTTGTAATTTACCCTAAAGTAAACAACAAAAAATATTTTGAAAGGATATAGCCTGCACGGTGAAATTTGTCTATGGTGAGTTTATTTCGATAATTCGAATCGTTCATCTTGTAAGACCCTTCAAGTAAATCATCTATACCAAAAATCACGTTAATTAGATATCAATATCCACACGATCGAATCACATTTTAAAAAAATAAATAAATAAACTGTCAATTCCTGAAATGATGCATGCCATACATTTTTTCGATTTTTTTTTTTGTTCCAATCATGTGGCAAATAATATTCGATTAACTTAATTTTTTGTATAAATTATCTACTCAACAGGCCTTGTAAGATAAATAATTCAAATTATTAAGATTGATCCACAATAGGCAAACTACAAGATACATTATAGAGGAAATATCATTTTGCTCTCTAACTATCACGTGTTTTTCAATTTGACTCCCATATTTCGATTTATTTCAATTTAGTACATGAACTTTCAACAAATTGATCAATTTAACCCCTGTCATCATATTCCGTCTACAATTAGACGGAATGTGCTGACGTGACACCAAAGTTCATTTGGAATTTCATCTTACCCCCCAAACTATACCTTAAAAATCAATTTGCTCCCCAAATATAAACAAATTAAATTTAAATATTTAATAAATAATTTTTTTATCTCAATAATAAAAAAAATTAAATCTTAAATAATATATACTTTGCAAAAAAATAATTAAAAAAATAAAAATTCTCATTTTGAAATATTTTGAGACTATAAAGCATAGATTATTTGACAAACATGTTGTATCTGTACTGGATACTTACAAATAGAATTTAATTATATGATTAGCCATGTTTTTTTTATATTGTAAATGTAAAAAAAAAAAAAAAAAAAAAAAGATACTCTAAGGTGTCATCACTGCATCGGTGGACTCAAGTCCCATGGTAACTAGTTGCCAGCTTGATTTAACCCAACTTAAAAGAAGGGACTCACCACCTAACTCCAGGGAAATTCAACCATATGTCGCAAACAAGCTTAAAATTCGATTGAAAGATTTCTGCATAGCGTCACTAGAATTACCCAGCATTAGCCATGTCCTCTAGATTAATTTTAACATGAATAATTGGCTTCAAATCTTAAAAGTTAGCTGGAGTGGACCCCATGAAAAGGCCGTGTTGAAGCCTAATGGACTTGTGATGCAGTGTTGAGTTTTAAAAGAGAATAGTTGAGTTCATTAGTATAATACCAAAAAATTACAATGAACATCATCAATGGACGAATTTTTGTGTTAGTGATGAGGCATTTTGTGGGGTGGAAGTGATTGGCTTTTATCATGGTTTGGGATCTAATTAATTACTTTTTTTATATTGATAAATTAAATTATTTCTTTTGAGATTTTAAAAATAAAGAAAAATTTACTCACAAATCTCATACGGGAGAATGTTGACCCATTTAATTCTAAGAGTTTTCTTATGAACCAATTAGTTATTTTTGTTTTAAAAAATTGTATTCATTTGATTTGATACCATTTGAGTTTAAGTAAATGCCTTTTTATGATTTATTTTTCTAATTTTCCGATTCATTTTTGGAATGAGAATAGAAATGTGAGGTGTAAAAGATTCTTTTTGAAGGAATTGGTGGCTGAAGTGTTGGTGTTGAACATGGAAATCTACATTTCTGGTAGTGTGGTTTTTCGGTGTTACATTGGAGTGTTATATTAGAGTGTTACATTTGAAAAAATACAATAAGGAGTTTTTATGTGTTACATTGATTAGAGTGTTACAATTGGTAAAAAAAATACACTAAAGAGGTTTTAAATTATGTGTGTGTGTGTGTGTGTGTGTTTATTATAATGCGGTTTGATATATAGATGTTTCATTTTAAAACAAAATAGGTATAATTCATAAATTTAAATTTATATATAAAAATGACATTATCATATTATTTTTGTGAAAAATTTTGCATGAAAAGAGTATCTTTATATAAAAAGCTATTCACATGATACTCGCAACTGATAATGTAACAAAAAATTTTACGAATGAAATAATGTTAGTTCACATTTGTTAAGTAGTTAGAACATTTCCAACTGTTCATCTATTTGAATAAAAGTTCAATTTGATATCAAGTGCTCCAACGGAGATTTTTAAGACTTCATCGAAACACCGATTGACGTGGTGAACGATTGGGCAGATGTCTAGCTGATCGACCGGCTAGTGTAATTTTTTCACAAATTTTTATCTTGAGGTGGTCATCTGAGGGGATATCCAGTGGTTAAAATCTAACAGATATGAACAGTGATTTGATGAAAGTCACATCTACTTTCAATTTAATGAAAGATTTGAGAAATCCTGAATTTTATGAAAATTTTGGTATAGGGTTGGAACAACAAAAAAATGAGTTTTTTCTTCAAATTTAAATTTGATGAAGCATTGAAAATGGTCTTAAAGACAAGATATGAACCAACTTAACATATTTTTGTAATTCTTGACTACTTGCCTCCTTAAAGTTTTACCCATTTCTCATTTTGACCATTTAAGTTTGATTTTGTTTTCACTTTAACCCTTTTTGTTTACAATGTTTCCCACTTTGGTCCTTCATGTTTGCAATCTTTCTCACTTTGGCCCTTTAAGTTCAATTTTTCTCACTTTAACCCTTCATATTTTTAATCATTCCCACTTTAGCCCTTCATATTTGTAATCCTTCCCATTTTACTCCTAGACTACCTTTCATCCAAAAAAGTAACAGAATTTATCACATCAGCTCCGTATATGATGTAAAAAATTCACTAAAGATGCAAAAAATAAAAAATAAAAAAATTGAATTTTTTTTTAATCTTTCGTGAACTTTTTTCCAAATTTATTCATAAACATTATTACATTATAAATAAATTTAGATTAGATACAACTAAAAAAATAAAAACAAATTTAATTTCCAAAAAAAAATCTCTAAAGACGAAAAAAAAAATGATAATAAAATTTTCATTTCAGAACTGACAATGCAGGGATATGAGTCAGTAAACTTTTTTTTTTTTAGTTAAATTTGTTTTAATTTTTTTAACTGCATCTACTCTTGATACATCTATAACGTAATAATGATTATGAATAAATTTAGTTAAATTTATTTTAATTTTTTTAACTGAATCTAATCTAAATGCCTCTATAATGTAATAATGTTTATGAATAAATTTAAAAAATAAAGTTCACTAAAGATTAAAAAAAAATTCCAATTTTTTTTTGTTTTTTATTTTTTATTTTTTACATCTTTAGTGAATTTTTTACATCACACATGAAGTTGATGTGTTAGTGATGTGGCAGATTCTGTTAGTTTTTTTGGATGGAAGTTAGTGTAGGAATAAAGTGAAAAGGATTGCAAATATAAAGAGCCAAAGTGAAAAAAATTAAACTTAAAGGTCAAAGTGAGAAATATTACAAACATGAAGAGCCAATGTGAGAAAAATTAAACTTAAAAGGCCAAAGTGAAAAATGGGTGAAACTTTAAGGGGGCAAAATGTAATTTACCCTTTTATTTATGCAGTTGTTCGTGCAAGCAAAAGCAATCTCTTTCATAAATCAATAAAAATCTAAAAGAGGTAATCTAGGTTCCAATTTAGGCAGGCCTAGCACACAAAAGATGTCTATATTCCACTTGCACTAATTGCCAACTTTCTCATAGACTCTATTCTCAAATAGAAAAGAACAATAATGATAATTACATTCAAATTAGCCTTTCAATACTTTTCTTTTGAAGAAACATTAACAGGTGAACATATTTTCTTATTTAATAGATTTCACGGACAAATACAACTTTCTGAGGCAATCAATGTGTAAGACGTGAATAATACATGTTTTGGCAATAAATATTTATTACGTATCCGGTAGCAAAAAATCAATCAGCACAAGAGAATGCTTTCTCGACCATAAGAATGAGGAATAGAAACCCGCCAACAGAGATGCAAACTGCAACAAGCATAACCACTAACATAGCATGCAAAGAAATGTAAGGGCTCACAAAAAACACAACTGCAATCGAAACACACTGCCAAACCTTGAGTTGTGCAAATGCTCCTTCCTGTACACCCCAAAAGTAACATTTGAGAATTAAATGCAAGTGCATTTGCACAAAGAAACGACTAAGAAAAATTGAGGGCCAAATATCTTTAATATACTTGAATGAGAAATAAATTAGACATAAGTATGAAAATCATTAAGATAACTAACATTATAAAGGAGAGTACAACACACAAAAGTCAATTTTCTCCTATTTGTTTAATTGTTCAATTAGGAGAACACTTGTGGAACCCATATCTTTAACTTTCCTAAAGGAATAAGTTCTCCTAATTTCCTTCAATAAATGAAATTTACGTCTCAAGAATCTCAATATACCTTGTCTTCAACCATAAAACATACGTTTTCACAATTACATCCACTGATTTATTTATTTTTTTTATAAATAAAAAAATACATAGTTTCATCCCACCTGCCTCTCAATTAGATCCAAGCACGAACACCTCTAAGAAGATAATGTGTCGGATACACGTCCAAATGTGTCATTAATTTTATTATTTTTTTATATTTTTTAGATCTAGACACGCTTTGGACACACGTCCATCACTTATTCATACGCTCAACTCAAGGCATGCACTTCTCGTGTCAACACTTATGTGAAAAAGAGTATAAATCAAACTAAAAAAGGTTTAGTAAAACAAACAAAATAAATCACTACCATATCATGCTTAAAGAGCATCCCAAGCAAAGCATTAAGCTGTGTGTTGAATATTCCATCCCCAATTCCCAATGCGGCTGCCATGAGAAGGGGGTATAAAATGCCGAGTACTCCACTAGTTACGCTGCACAATGGCACAGTTAACAAGAACTGATAAAGTCATAGCAGCTTCAAATAAGATATATATAATTAAAAACTTTAGATTCTAAATAACTTTAATTGGAATCAACAAGAAACCTAACCTGTACTTCAGTAGAAGCCAAAGCAGTACAATTAACTGAATGAAAGCTCCAGCACAAACTATTAGAGTGATTGACTTGAGACCAGAGGTGAGTCGACCCATAGCCAGCGAACACTAACACATTCCAGATATAAACTGAGTCTGAAAAACTTAATGAATCAAACAAATGACAAATTATAAAACAAAGATGGTTTTCCTGGGTTTTTAACTTTTAGCGAACTTGAGGTGTAATAATATTTACATCCTATGCCACATTATTATTGAATAATTTCCTACAAAACATAAACATATGAGGATAGAGATCATAGCAGAGATTGTGAGTAATAACTTGAATGCAAATACCGTGGGAAAAATAAGTATGCAACAGAACACAAGATATGATTATCCATCCATATTATCCATGTGAAGTACCACCAGGGCAATAAATGAAATTTTGTATATTGTTGCAAAAACACAACACAACTCATAGAGAATAAATATGGAAAAGGATATTTATTATTTGTTATTCTTGTTGCTTACAAAAGGAAAGGGTAAATGAAATTTAAAGTTGTTCACTCAATTCATTTTTATTTCTCCAACTCAACAAGAAAGAGACGAAGTGAGCTAATTCATGTATGTAAAACATGAATTAATGTACGTAAAACAAAAACAGACTCACCAAGTGAGCTAATTCATGTAAACCATTCCATAAAGCTACTCATTTCTGCAGTGCCATACTTACAATTGCATCAAAAGCCCAATACACTGCCATAGCACCACCTACACCAGACTCACCAAGTGCAGGTTCCGCAATGTACTTGGTGTATTCAGCCCTAAAATTGTAAATGTGTTCCACGCTTAATTGAAGAAAATATTACAATGTATATAGTGCACAAATTGAATGGTCAAAGGACAATAAAAAGGTAAAATGTCATAAGTTAATCAACAATTACCATACAAATGCTTGTTGTAAGCCTGAATATGCAATAAGGGGGATGATTAATAGCATTCGTAAGTCAAACAATGGAAGAGTAGAAACTGACAGAAGAATCTGGTAAAGTCTCCTCTCCTTTAGCATCCCTCTTTTGTAAGAAGCACATGAGTATGGTACCTAAGGTCATACTACAAACGAACATAATATATAGTAAAGTTGTGCCACTGCCACTGGTAGTTCCCCCCTGCAGTGATGTGAAAGAAAGAATAACAAATTAAAGATGCGAGTATTTTAAAAGAATTAAAAAATCATAGATTCTGACACTGAGGTAGAATCTACAATGCTTCAAATTTTCCACAACCAAATGAAAGATAGTGGTATATTGCTGTCAAGGA